ATGGGCTTAATTGCACTGCTGTCCCTCCTATTAGTCTAGGAGCCCATTCCTCTTACTTGATTTGCATTACCCTAGAGTGTAGAGACTAATATCCTTAAATGCATCTACATTCTCTCATGTTTACCTATGATCCCATTCCCATTTAAAGCTCTTTGAATGACTGCAGAGGGTACTTGGGGGAGTTAATGGGCTCAATTAGAGCCATAATCCCTTCTGTTAGTCTAGATTCCCATGCCCTCCTACTCCATTTGCATTACCAAAGGGGATACAAGGGAATGTTAATGTGCTTAAATGCAATTACCTAGGATCCCCTCTCCACCTAACTCCCTTTTCGTGATTGCAGAGAGTACTTGGGACTGTTAACGGGCTTTGTTGCAGGCACAGTCCCTTCTGTTATCTAGAATCTGTTCCATCCTACTCCATTTGCATTAACACAGAGAGTACAGGGACTGCTAATGTGCTTAAAAGCAGCTACAGTCCTTTATGTTACTCTAGGATCCCATTGCCACCTAACTCCCTTTTCATTACTGCAGAGCCTACATGGACTTGTTAATGGGCTTTATTACACTGCTGTCCCTTCTGTTCGTCTAGAATCCCATCCCTGTACTCAGTTTGCATTACCCCAGAGTACACGAGAGACTGTTACTGTGGTTAAATGCATCTACAGTCTCTTATGTTTACCTGTGATCCCATTCCCACCTAACTCCCTTGCACTACCACAGAGGGTACAAGGGACTGTTACTGTGCTTAAAAGCAGCTACAGTCCCTTATGTTTATCTAGGACCCTATTCCCACTTAACTCCCTTTTAATGACTGCAGAAGGTACTTGGGACTTTTAATGGGCTTAAATGCAGCTATAGTCCCCTGTCTTAACCTAGGATCCTATCCCTTATTATCTCCCTTCCATTACTGCAGAGCCTACATAGGACTTGTTAATGGCCTTAGTTGCACTACTGTCCCTTCCGTTAGTCTAGGATCCCATCTCTACCTAATTCCTTTTAGGTTACCAAAGAGGATACAAGGGACTGTTAATATGCTTAAATGTAGAAACAATCGCTTTTTTTAGGTAGGATCCTATTTTCACCTAACTCCCTTTGCATTACCACAGAGGGTACAAGGGACTGTTACTGTGCTTAAAAGCAGCTACAGTCACTTATATTAACCTAGGATCCCATCCCCAACTATCTCCGTCTTCATTACTGCAGAGCCTACATAGAACTTACTAATGGGCTTAATTGTACTGCTGTCCCTTATCTTAGCCTAGGATCCCATTAGAGCTAATTACCTCCTAATTCCCTTTAGATTACCAGAGAGGACACAAGGGACTGTTAATGTGCTTTTAAATGCAAGTGCAATCTCCCCCCCGCCCTTTTAACCTAGGATTCCATTCCCACCTCACTCTCTTTTCATGACTGCAGAGGGTACTTGGGATTGTTATTGGGCTTTATTGCAGCTACAGTCCCTTCTGTTACCCTAGATTCCCATCCACTCCTACATGATTTGCGTTACCACAGGCTCTACAAGGGACTGTTAATGGGCTTAAAAACAGCTACAGCTCCTTATGTTAATCTAGGATCCCATCCCCACCTAACCTCTCTTCACAACTGCAGAGGGTACTTGGGACTGTTAATGGACTCAATTAGAGCTATAGCCCCTTCTGTTAGTCCAGATTCCCATGCCCTCCTACTCAATCTGCATTACCAAAGGGAGTACAATGGATTGTTTATGTGCTTAAATGGAGCTACAGTCCCTTTTGTAACCTAAGATTCCATTTCCACCTAACTCCCTTTCCTGACTGCAGAGGGTACTTGGGACTGTTACCGAGCTTACTGTAGCTGTGTTCCCTTCTGTTAGTGTACATTCCCATCCTCTCTTACACGGTTTGCATTACCACAAACTGTATAACTATTAATGTGCTTAAATGCAACTACAGTCCCTTATGTTAACCTAGGATCCCATTCCCACCTAACTCCCTTTTCATTAATGCAGAGCCTACATGGGACTTGTTAATGGGCTTAATTGCACTGCCCTCCCTTCTATTAGTCTAGATTCCCAGGCTGTCCTCGATTTGCATTACTAAAGGGGGTATAATGGACTGTTAATGTGCTTAAATGCAGCTACAGTCCCTTTTTTTTTTTTTAACCTAGGAACCCATTCCTACCTAACTCCCTTTTTATGACTGCAGAGGGTACTTGGGACTGTTAACGGGCTTAATCACAGCTACAGTCCCTTCTCTTAGTCTAGATTCCCATCCCCTCCTACAGATTTACATTACCACAGAGGATACAAGGGACTGTTAATGTGCTTAAATGCAGGTATAGTCCCCTTTATTGTTTCACCTAGGATCCCATTCCCAACTAACCCCCTTTGCATTACCACTGACTGTACAAGGGACTGTTAACATGCTTAAATGCAATTATAGTCCCTTATGGTAATCTTGGATACCACCCCCAACTAACTCACTTTGTATGACTGCAGAGAATACTTGGGACTTTAAATGCGATTGATTGCAGCTACAGTCCTTTCTGTTAGTCTAGGATCTGTTCCCTTCCTTCTTGATTTGCATTACCAGAGAGGGTAGAAGGGATGGTTAATATACTTAAATGGATCTACAGTCCCTTTTGATAACCAGGATCCCATTTCCACCTAACTCCTTTTGCACGACCACAGAGGCTACAAAGTACTGTTGAAGTGCTTAAATGCAGCTACAGTCCCTTATGTTAACCTAGGATCTTGTTCCCACCTAACTCCCTTTGCATGACTGCAGAGGGTATTTGGGACTATTAATGGGCTTTACTGAAGCCACAGTCCCTTAGTCTAGGATCCCATCCCCTCCTACAGGATTTACATTACCACGGAGGGTACAAGGGACTGTTATGGTGCTTAAATGCAGGTAGAGTTCAAGGATCCCATTTCCACCTGCCTCCATTTGCATTACCAAAGAGGCTACCAGGGACTGCTAATGTGTTTAAATGCAGGTACAGTGCCTTGAGTTAACCCCGAAATCCCACCTAACTCCCTTTTCATGACTGCAGATGGTAATTGGGACTGTTAACAAGCTTTAATGCAGCTACGGTTTCCCTCTTAGTCTAGAATCCCATTCCCTCCTACTTGATTTACATTACCACAGAGTGTACAAGGGATTTTTAATGTGCTTAAATGGCACTACAGTCCCTTATGTTACCTATGATCCCATTCCCACCTAATTCCCTTTGCATGACTGCAGAGCGTACTTGGGACTGTTAATGCGTTTACCTGCCTATACAGTCTCATCTGTCCGTCTAGATTCCCATGCCCTCCTACTAAATTTGCATTATAAAAGAGGGTACAAAGGACTGTTAATGTGCTTAAATGCAGTTACAGTCCCTTTGTAAGGTGGGATCCCATTCCCACGTAACTCCCTTTGCATCATCCCAGAGGCTACAAGGGACTTTCAATGTGCTTAAATGCAGGTACAGTTTCTTATGTTAACCTTGAACTATATTCCCACCTAACTCCCTTTACATCACTGCAAAGGGTACTTGGGACTCTTAATGGGCTTCATTGAAGCTGCTGTCCCTTCTGTTGGTCTAGATTCCCTTTCCCTCCTTGATTTGCATTACCACAGTGTACAATGGACTGTTACTGTGCTTGAATGCAGGTACAGTCCTTTTTTTTTTAAACCTAGGATCCCATTCCCACCTAACTCCCTTTGCATTTCTGCAGAGGGCACTTGGGACTATTTTAATTGGACTCCTGTCCCTTCTGTTAGTCTGGGATCCCATCCCCTCCTACTTGATTTGCGTTTCCACAGAGACTACAAGGGACTGTTAATGTGCTTATTAAATGCAGGTACAATCCCTTATGTTAACCTAGGATCCCATTCCCACCTATCTCCTTTTGCATGACTGCAGAGGTATTTGAGACCTTTAAAGTGGTTAGTGGCAGCTGTAGTCCCATCTGTTAAGTGTACTTTCTCAAGCACTCCAATTCCCTCACGTAACTTGGGAACATATTTCGGACTGTCACTGTGCTCGTTTTTGGCTGTGGTCCCTTTGTAATTCTAGGATCTCATCCCTTTCTACTCATTTGTATTACTTGTTGGTATTGGGACAGAAAGGTGCTTAAATGCAGCTGTAATCTGTTTTGTTAATCTAGGATTCCATGCCCTCTAACTCCCTTAACATTACCTAGGAGTGTATTTGGGACTGTTGAAGTGCTTAATTGCATCTGTGGTCCCTTCTGTTAGTCTCACTTCCCATGCCCTCTTACTCCCTTTGCATTACAGCAGAGGGCACTTGGGACTATTAAAGTGTTTAATTGCAGCTGTGGTCCCTTCTCAGTCTGGGGTCCATCCCCTCCAGCTTTGTTTGCATTACCACAGAAGGTACTTGGATCTGTGAATGTGTTTAAATGCAGATATGGTCCCTTTTGTTAGTTTTGGATCCCATGACCCCCTTTACATTACCTGGGAGGGCATTTGGGACTGTCATGATGGTAATTGCACCTGTGTTCCCTTCTGTTGGTCTAGAATCCCGTTACCTCCTACTCCCTTTGCATTACATGGGAGCGTTTTTGGGACTCTTAAGATGCTTAACTGCAACTATGGTCCTTTCTGTCAGTCTAGTTTCCAGTCCCTTTCTACTCCAGTACCCTTACCACAGAGGATACTTGGGACTGTTGTGGTGCATCCCATCCTCTCACACCCTGTCAGCATTACAGCATAGGGTCCTGAACACCAAGGCCCCTTCTTTTCACTGTTAATGCACAATTGCATTTGTCCTTCTTCCTCTGCAGTATATAAAGACCTCACTAACTTCCCTTGTATTCAGTGGTGGATGCCCTTTACTCAAGACCTTTGTACTAGAATAAAGTGAACCATGGTAATTGACCACAAATATATCTTTCACTGAAGTCCCTTGTACTCTCTTTGTTTTATAAGAAGATGTATTAATTACCTCCGTTACTTTTTCTGGGAGTATTTACATGCAAAATTCCAGTGTTCAAGGCCCCTGTCTTTAATATCCCTCCCTTTCTGTATTATATCAGGGGATGTTAGTGACTCAGAGTCCTTCTCTTGGGACTCATTGTGCATGTGCCCTCGTGACAAGCTAATATCTTGAGTTCTTAGTATTATAGGAGGGACTACTGACTAGTTTCTCTTTTGGACAGTTAATGTGCAAAATTACACTAGGATCCCATCACATTTCACCTCCTTTGCATCAGGGGTCCTGATCAACTGTGGCTGCTTTTCCTCTAGAGTTTAAACGTGCATAATTTCAGTAACCCATGCTCCCTTATGTTAGATTAGGATCCCATTTCCTTGCCCCATTTACGTTACTGCGGGGGCTTCTGACTAGCCAAGATAAGTTTTCTTGGACTGTTAATGTGTATACTTACATTTGCTCCTGTACACCAGGTAAGGACCCTCCCCATTCTATTTATATTCCAACAGGAGGTGCCTACTACTCAAGATCTTACACACTACTGCAGTTAATGTGCACAATCTTAGTTGTCTTGTATACATTCTCAGTTGTCCACAACTGTGCTTTTTAGATCAGGACTCCACTTATTGAAGCACAGGTTACTTACTACCTTAAAGCCCTTGTTTTGGGACTGTGACTATGTGTAATTAAAATTGTCCATGGTCCTTTGAGTTAACTTGTGTCCCTGACTCTTTTCACACTCCCTTTGCTTTACTGCATGGGGTACTGTCCACTTAAGGCCCCTTTCTCAAATACGTGTAATGACAATTACATTAGGATCCTTCCCCTTCAAACCCCTTAGAAGTACCACAAAGATTTTGACCCCTAAGTCCCATTTCTTGTTCTGTTATTGTATTTGTCTGGGTTCCTGTGCACTAGACAAGGACACCTCTCCATTCCCTGTCCTTCCAGCAGGAAGTGCCCCCTCCACAGGACTGTTAAATTTGGACAGTCAAGGTGCACAATTGTAACTGACCACAACCAGTCACCTTGGACATTAATGTGCATAACTGCACATGGCTCATCCCATATGGATAAGATCCTATCCTCTCAGACCCCTTTTGTAGTACAGCAGGGGTAATGATCACTAAGCCCTCTTTCTATGGCTTGTTATTGTGCATAATTGCATTTGTGCATGTTCCTGTACAGTTGATGGGGGCACCTATCTCCCCACTCCCTTTGTCTTTTAGCAGGGAGTGCCTGCTACTTTAAGATCCTTATATTTGTACAAGGTATACGATTTTAATTGACCACACCATGTCCCTTCAACATTAATGTACATAACTGCAACTTAGTTCATCTTATCCTGTTGCCCTCCATTTGCAGTATATCAGGGTTGCTGACCCATATATCCCCATTCCTTGGCCTGTTAATGTGCATAATTGCATTTGGTTCTTGGGCAGTAGACAAGGATCCCCTCCTCCCCCACATTTCCTATGCCTTCCAGTAGGTTGTGCCCACCATCAAGACCTTTCTATTTGGACAGTTAATGTGCAGAATTGCAGTTTTTCACAACCCTGTTACTTCTAGGACTATTTTATCTCCTTTGTAATACTGCAGGGGATATTGTTTTCCCCCAAGGTCCCTTCTAGTGGACCGTTAATACACATAATTGAAATTGTTGTCTTTATCAGTAGACTAATGTCATATCCCCTCAGCTAACTATCATGACCTCAGCTCTTGGACAATTAATATGCACCAATAACATATCAAAAGTACGATCATTAGATAGGACCCCTGTACCCTCACTGTATACATCAGAGGTACTGACTAAGGCCCCTTTTTTGGACTGATAATGTGAATATTTGCAATTACCTATTCTCTCTTCTTTTTAGAGTCGGATAGCATCCCTTTGCACCCCCTTTGCATTACTGCAGGGGCTGCTAATGACACAAAACTTCTACTGGGACTGCTGATGAGCACAATGGCATTTAGCAATGGGTTTTTCCTCCCTGGCTTTGTTAGGCAAGCATTCCCAGCTCCAGCTTCCCATGGCATAATAAAGTATAAACACTGCAGTATGCTGTGAACTTGTCCATCAAACAACGACCCATACTCCCACTCCTTTTGCATTGGCTCCAGTGTATCAAATTCCAAGTAGTCATAGTCTTGCCATTATCTTCCCTCTCCAGACCACTTGCCTGCCCTTGGACCCTTCTTATGGAATATTAATGCTCACAATTTCAGGTGTCCATGTATCCAGATAAGATTGTGCTCTCTTGCCCCTCCTGCTCCTGCCCTGCCCCTTTTGCATAGTTGATGGGAAATGTTGACTGAGCAAAATGCTTTTCTCTTGGACTTAAAACGTTAACAATCTCAGATGTCATTGTTTTGCCCATTTTGAATTTCTGTAATACCTTGGTTGCACTTTCTTTGGTCCGGCCCGTTAGACATGGACCCTTCCACTTCCTTCTTTGCATTACTTCTGAGTAGTGCTGACCTCCCACAACCCCTTCGGTGTTATTAACACAGTATTAATTGTCCCATTTTTTAGCCCATCAGCCCAAGATCTCCCTACCACTTTGATGTTGTGTTTGTGCAGTATTGACTACCAAAAGCAAGCCTGAACTAGGTGGCTGGGCCTTCACTCCTTTTCCTGCATTTGTCAATGATCCCAGTTCCAATTCTTTTCACATTCTGGGGACAGGAACCATTCCTACCCCCCTCTTACTGCTTTACTAGGCAAAATGCCCAAGGCAAGTCAGACCCAAGGGAACTGGATTGCTATCCTTTATTTTGGGTTTTCATTATACATAAGTATCAATTGAAAATTGTCTCCCCAGGAAGGAAGTTTAGCACTCTCTGTGCATTCTTCCTTTCAAAGCAGATTGCCTGGCTAAGACTCTCTCCTCTCTTCTTGTATATTGCCATTGTATAGTGTCAACTGCCAAGATACAACCAAAAAGTTGCTGTTAAGTTTTTATGTTGTAAGGAAGATTGCAAGTTAGAATTGATAACCTGGTCATTGAAATTTTGAAGTCTAAAAACCTATTTATACCATGTACCTGATGACCAGTGTCTCTCATTTTACTAAGGGTGGTGGGTCTGTGGATAGACCACTGTGACTTTGATATTTTAGTATGATCAAAGGAGTTCTAGAGTGGAACTCTTAAGACCAGTATCTTTGGGCTCTACCACCATTTTCAAACCATTCCTTGTTTGGGCTTTAACAATTTTCACTTTTAGAAAAACTACCTAAACCTCCTAATCCTTAAATTTTTTCATCTGGAGCTCCAACCAGCCCCTACTTATTTCAAGAAGATTGCTGTAAAAGGATAAAAATGAGAGAACATATGCTGAGGTGCTTTTGAAAACCATAGATCAATTTATTTGATTAATCTATTACATAAAATGCCCCCTGTTTAATTCTGCTAATTTAAAGTAGCCTAAAGCACCACACTGAAGTGAGGACTTAGAAATGATGGAACCAGTTTCCCCATTTTATATGAAAAGAAAAATAAGCCAAGGTCTAATCATTCTTTCGGATATAAATTTCAACAGTGAGGTAGCTGCCTGGTAAAAATGAATAGTGTTCCAGCTCTAGTGTACAGGGTGTTTGGTGGCAGAGAAGTATTTAATATGGAACTGCTGGAGCAAATAACTAGTTATCACTACAGCAGTTCTTTGTAATCACTGAGAAAGGATACTCTTCTCTGAGAAGGATGTCAAAAGATTCGCCCAGCTCAGGGTGCTGTTTGCACTACTAGCTCCTTGGACAGCTGTAAGAAGTCTCTGGCTCTTTAGAATACTGTAAGTACTACTTTGCAGTTATTAAGTAATCTTTTCCCTGTTCTGTTTTCTTTCTTTTAGATGCTACCCATAGAAAAGTCAGAGGGTCCTATAAGTCTCCTTCCATGTTTCTACCTCATCTGCAATTTATATATCACCATATGAGTTAACAAACAAAATAACAGAGTTAGTATTGTGTATCTGGCCCTATGCTCGGTTACACTGAAGTGAGGGGTAGAAATGATATAGTCCTATATAATCTCATCCCCAAGATGGTTGTCTTGTTAAAGGCGCTAATATAAGCACACTTGAAATAACTCTAGGATATGATAATCAAGTGCTGTCTTGTGTGAATTATAAGTTATAGAGATTTAAAAAGGGAGCACACTAGGGTTTGAAGTTAATAGGGTAAACTTAAAGGAGGTGGGTTAACTTTTTGTCTTTGGTCTAGGACGTGATTAATATTGCAGCCATCTGGGTAGTACAATTGGTTTATTTTAATGTCATTTGGTTTTTACCTCTTTTGGAGCCATGGAAAGTGATTAGAGGTAAGGCCTAGCTAGTGTGTTTGGCTATATGCCAAGGCTGACAAATTGTTGATTGTTAATTGTTTGAAGCTTATGCTTTTCAAGCTCTAGGGATTGGGGGTATAAATCTGATTTGTTAGATCTCTGCCCAAGAACAGATGAGAGTAGCAGTGTCTTTTTAGTTTGAGATATTTGTGGAACCTGTTTGGCAAGAGGGCAATGGAGAAGTATGTTTTATAAGAAAACCATGACCTCACCTACTTTATGATGAAGTTGATATGTTCTTTCCCCTCACCTTTTTCAACAGATACTTTGGTAAGCGAAAAAACTTAGCCTCTTTGATGTTAAACAAACACAAAGATCCAGCTGAAAAATATTAACATCAAATTTGAAGCACTTTTCTGTGCATATACATGTATCCCAGCAGGAGCAAGAAGAATCATACTAATGAGTTGGGCTTTTCTTACTGCCCATTTTAATTCATATCCGTATTTCCTAACAGCTTGTTTTCCCCCCTACCAATGCCTAAAGACATTATTTGTCTGACCGATTGGAGGTAATATACGGATGGTCCTGAGCCTTCTTGGAAACGTGGTCTATGCCATTGTTTCTCAAACTGAAGTAACTTGTCAGGATGCAACACCTTTTAAAGAAACAAATTTTTTTTGAGATCCTAAAGAATATGTGTTTTGAGGAACACTGACTTAAAGTTATTTGCAATATAAACATGTTTTCCAATTTCAAGATATCTTTGTCAAAGATATATAATTTTTAAAATAATTTATGTAGAACTTGGGGATCCATGAGAATATATCCATAAACCCCCAGGGATCTTATCACCCCAATTTGAGAAACACTGGTCTATGCTTATGAAATCTGTTATTGCTGCTAATCAAATTATCATTCAATATTAATATACAACTATATTTATTGGAATTTGTTTTAAAGGGATGAATTCTGAGCTGGTACCCCCACTCAAGAGGAAGGATGGATCGATTTTAGGTGGATTGAAGCCTGCCCTAGACAGCATCCAAAGGTTAATCTTGGAGTTGTATTTCAGTTCATTGCTTGAAATAAAATCTCTAGCAGTTGTAGAAAGGGATGCTCTGGGAATGTGGGCATCTTCAAACTTGCGATAATCCTTATGCAACAAATATTTATTGGACCAGGCACTGGAATAAATAGTAATACCAAAGACATAGTTCCTGTCCAGGAATTTGCTATCTCATGGAGGATGCAGAAGTGGACAAATTATTATGGTGTTGGGCAATTTGATGAGTACCATAAAAAGTTTGGGAAATTCTGTGGGGCATAGAGGAAGAAGAGTAGGGGAAAAACACTCTTACTAAGCAAAGTGATAGCAAGGGGAAAATGCAAGGTGTGCCTAGGGAGCACCTTGATCAGTTGGGTCAGGAGCTGTGTAAACTGAGGGCTTACAGGCACTACTCCAGTATTCCTTGCTTTTTACAAATGCATTTTAATGAAGCACTAATTTTCTTGGATGGAGTGAATCACTATTCTTTTTCATGGGTTTGGGGGTAGAAGGAGTGAGATGCTGGCAAAATTATGAAAAAGTTCTGAACCGGGAATAAGAACACAGCTTTTGGTCCTGGCTCTGACTTTGGATCAAATCACCATCCATCTCAACTTCAGTGTCAAGGACTGCTGATGAATTAAGACAGGGACTTGAATTAAATACCTCAACCCCTGAAAATTACATTTTATCATTTTCAAAGGATCAAGAAAGGAAGCACTAAAATTTTTTTGGCATTTCTCTAAATGGTTATTGTGATTTCTGATTTTCCTCCTTATAGAACTTTAATATATAGGATTGGAGAGAGTTTTCTGACCCTGGTTTTGTGTGTCTTTTCCTATAACCCCCTTGAGCTTTTCTACTATCTTTCTGTAGCTTATTTATACATTTCTCTAACCACCTCCCTAAATTATAGAAGATCTTAAGACCCAGGGCTGCTATGATATAATTTCTTTTCAGGGTAGCTGGGCCCTGATCATCAAATGTACACCTGGATGGGAGTTTGTGACTTGAAGTAAAGAATTAAAAGTTGATCTGTAGTGGCTGCTAAAATATTATATGTGAAAGCGTCCTGGGGAAATTTTTTAGCAGCTTAAAGAGAAGGAAACTGATATCTGAACTTAACTAACTGTTCCACCAAACCTTATAAGCTCTGATGGCAAAGAGTATAGTTGTGTATGGTTAAACAGAGTTAATGCCTTCTTCTGCCTCAAGTCTTAAGGACTCATTTGGAAGAAAACTATTTTCCCACTAACATATTTTTGGCTACAGACAATTAGCACTTAACACTGGTGTCTTTCAAAATCTAACTCAAGTTGGATCTCAAGTATTTGTATGAAACTTAGCTGACATGCTAAATTTAACAAAACTAGAGGGCTTTGATGCTAAAGTAGCCATACTCAGTAAATATGTTTCAGAGTGCCTCAGAAGACCTGGAGAGACTGAGCAGTTGTTTCCTTTTAGGTACCTTAACTAAGCAGTGTATAAATCAATTTGAGCTTGGATTCATTAATTTTAAGGTTCTCTGGGTAAATTTGATTGCATATGGATTGTCCACTCAACTATCATTAATGGAGTTTCAAGAAGGAGCCTGAGTAGATATGTATAAATATGTATGAACTGCCATGTTTAACTAGAAGGTTTTACTTAGCAATGAAGTATCTAATCTTAGGTTAAGTAAGGATGGGGAAGGATGTTACCAAAAGACTTTGAAGCTTGTTCTCATATTGGGAACATCATAGAATACCAGTTTAGCTTTATTGGACATCTTATCTAGAGAATAGAGTTGAATAAGTGATCTTTCACAGACTAGGATTTGTTTGATATTGACACAAATGTCCTTATAATATGGTAATTCTTGATCAGGGATCTGGAAGCCATACCTTGTGCTTTCCACACCATACCATAACATAAAAAGTGCTTTCAAGATTGCAAACCTGACTTAGATCTGTTTCAGTGAGCTCCTATCCTATAGTAAGGGCAGGTAGCCAATTATTAAAAATGGTCAAGGCAATTGTACTTCCAGGCAGTAGTAGAAATTGCTCTGCTACCTTGTATCTTGAAGTATTTTCAGCATCTTTAGGCCACAAATTTAGTCAGCCCTTAAGGTGGCTATTGGTTTGACCCATATTTTCATTTAGTTCTTTTTCTATACTTGCCTAGTCCTTCTGTGATACTGCCAGTGCTTGCCATTACAGGACCTTAAGGAGACAACAGGCTAGAGAGGAGAGACAGGAGACACCTATATCTAATTCTTCAGGTTAATGCTTCTTAATGGCTTTTGTTTTGTTTTGTTTTGTTTGATTGTTGTTGAGGTTTCCTCAACAGTTTTGTATCTTACTGAGCCCTGTCTGTCTTCTCAAGGACATTCTGAGCATGTGAGACCTGAGGAACTGCAAGCAGCTTTAAGAAGCTCTACATTCAACAAGTCTTTCCTTTTAAGAATCTGGATAAGCTCCAACCAATCTAAGAGGATGGCTTGCCGGCTCCCTGGAGAAAAAGGTAGTGTAAGGAGCTTATTATTGTGTGAATTCTGTCTATGGGTTTAAGGGCTTTAACTTCCTGCACTTCTCCTTTTTAAAACAGAACATGGACCAGTTTCCATCAATTTCTACACAGTTTTTTATTTTTTTTCTTTTTGGGCATAAGGGTAGAATAACAGAGACCCAAGGGCCTGTGTAAGCTACTTATTGGACCCCTAGCCTTCTGTACCTTGTTTTTCCTTTTGCATAGATTTGCTTAGTTGTTGTAATAACTGGGGTTTTGTACACCTGTAGCCATTCTTGATTTTTCTGAATATCTTGGCACTTTAGTGGTGCCTCATTTTTATAAGCTGTTCAAGAAATGTACCATGTAGACTGAGTAGAAAACAGTTCTGTTTACCTTGGCAATGCTCCAGCATCTTACTACTTAATACACAAATTAAAAGAGGGGAATGCTACAAAACTAGGTGAGAGAGAGGCACTTTGGTTGAGATAGATTGCTCAGTTCTTAAGATAGATAGTACTTTATAAAAGAAGCCTGAGGCAATGTGAAGAAGAATTCTTACAGAACTCATACAGTCAGACCACATTGGAGCTTTTCTAAAGTGTCTTGATGGCTCTCTTGGTTGAGAAAGCTTTAGCTTCTCCTTTTATTATTTTCAGCCCCTTAATTTCTTGACCTCCATTGTATTTTATGAGAATACCAGGACATTAAAAATCCACACTCTCTAGAGGACTGTTCATCAGTGGAGACTGGCAACTAAAACACAATACAGGAATTTGGTAATTATTCAGCTCTAAATTGTCTTGGAGATGAGGGGAGGTACAAGGAATGGAGCTTGAATGAGTAGAAGAATTTGCATGTTGTTAGACTGGTAGCTAGAAAATAGAGTTCTACATAGTTCTAAATCTCCAGTCCTCAATCCATCTGAAGAAAATGGTAGACATAGTTTAATTTAACCCCTAGTTACTCATTGGGACAGACTTTCCCAGTGTACTGCATTTAAGTAATTTATTTTTCTTTTATCTCTTCTCCAGATCTTCCTCAGAAGAATAGGCTTGTTGCTTTACAGTGTTAATGACCCATTCCCTTTGACGATCCCTAGGTGGAGATGGGGCATGAGGATCCTCCAAGGGAAAAACTCACTATCACTGAGCAACAACCCTAGGCCAGGAGGTTCTACCAAGATTCTTTCCTGGGCCCAGTTAGGAGGATGAAATCTCAAGACAACCACCACACATCCAGAGGTGGGTAAGCTGTCCCTAAAAGCATAATAAATAGTCTTTAATTTCTTGTTTTTCAGTATTCATTGCACTTAGCTTTCCATTTAGATTATTTTCATCATTGTCAACTATGTCTGCTTTGGTAAAAACTGCTTCTAATTAACCTGGGAAGCAACTGGGCGTGACATGGGTGAAAATGATGTGAAGAGAATAGCAGGCTGTATGAGTTAGGGTGTTTAGGGTGGGACTGTAGCATGTGGTAGAGCCTTTCAGCTAAATTTTTTTTCTTTTAGGAGAACATGGACAACAACTGCCACATCTGTGACATTGATCATGAGCAGATCATCATTCTGGACCCTCTGGTCTCCAAAGTCTCCCTTGAGGCCCTGTTGGAGAACTTTGCCAATCATTTACGTACTTCAGGATGCCTTGGGATAGCTGTTGGACAAAAGAAAAAACAAGCTGTTTGAGAAGATAAAACAGAGCTGTGTCTTTTTATGCTGTGCCTGCTAATTGACAGAAACTTCACAGCTATGAGTGGGAATGTGACTAGAAGTGGCACAAAGTTATCTATCGTCAGGCTGGATCTAAAGAACTAGCACCCTGCGTATTCTAGGTCAGTGATGAGAGAGGGTGGTTAGGGGGATGTAGGTTGGGAGATAGAGGTAACTGTTCAGTGTAGTAAGTCCTGATTGTACAGGCTTTATACAGATTACTATCCAACTAAAGGAATAAGGCTGTGATTGATGGTGTTGTTTCCAGTGGCTCACCAAGTGTTATTAGGCAAGACATTTTCCTATTTATGCCATAGTTTCCTATTCTGTTGAATGAGGCAGTTGTGTTAGTTTTATCTCTAAAGACATAAAAGCTTCAACTTTATACTTTTCTAAGCTCCGTAGAGATACTTTCTATAGCACATTAATTTGAATCTTCCCATAACTCTAGCACAGTACTCAGTTAATACTTCTTTATGGCATTTACATGGTTTCCTTCTCGTTTTTTGTAGCTCCTGATTGTTCCCTTCATATCTGTCCAATCATTATCTTTCCCAGAAGCAGTGCAAAGAGCAAGACATTTGAACACACCAAAGGAAGATCAACATGCCTGGCACTCTAGAATTTTAGAATAGCAGAATGAAGTAAGTTGGTGGTGGCGTAATCCTGTGAGGATCACTTTAGAGCTAATAGCTGTTTGTTGGAGGTTTGTATGGGATGGGGTATGGTGATCTAATGTGCAAGGGGAGCTGAATGTGAGATGGGAGGATGACCAGTAATCTACTTACTAATTGGTTTCCCTGAAGCAACTCAAAGATGATATAGTCTGTCTACCAGTTGTGTCACAGGGTAATTTAGTTTTACCTTGTCTGTTCTTTATCTTCACTGCATAAATCCTTTGCCACCCTTAGAGGCCTAAACATATAGAAACTTAAACCAAAAAAGTTTTTGTTTTTTGCTGAAAGGGTGGGCCTTTCTCACCTCTTTTTGTGAGAGAATCTGCAGTTAAGGTTTAGTGTTAAGGAAAACCCAGTCCCTGAAGCTGCCATTATAATTGTGAAGGGTGTGAAAATCAAGTCAGTTTTATAAGGGATGAGGAAAGGTGAAGATATAAAATGAGAGGGTTAACTAGGTGCTCTCTAAGGGCCCTTTATTATAATATTCACTCACCTGTGGCACCTCATTTGGCTGTCCTGGAAATCCTAGGAAACAGTTGTAACAGAATGTTAAGAGGCACATACTGTGTTTAAATCCTCTGCCACTCATTAGGTGAACAGCCTTTGGCAATTTAGATTCTGATTAGACTTGTCTGTGAAGGTTAAATGAAATCATGTATATAAAGAGCTTAGTACAGTGCCTAGCACATAGTAGGTTAAAGGTAAAAGGTAACCTAAGAAGTTTCATAAGTTCATTTGACACAATACAAGTGACCACTAATACCATCTAGTGGCACAGAGTTGGTGTGGTTTGGTCCTATGTAAGAAATTCCTAAGTTAAAAGTTTAAGTAGAAGAGTATCTGTGTTGTTGGTGATTGTTGTTGTTCTTATACTGTTATTATAATTATTATTGTTAGTGGTAATATAAATAGTATTGGCACTTATAATAGATTATTGCAATTATTAATGCACTTTTTTGTTTTCTTTTGTTGTCTTCTCTTTGTGATGCTTCTTGTGCCTACCATGCTCGTCACTGTATTTTGTCTCTTCTATTTCTTATCCTCTTCCACTGAATGTCTGCCTTTGCTTATCTTTTAAACTCATAAGTGTGTCTTTGTTTACTTATCTATTTCTTCCTTGAATGTCTTTGGTCTTTCTCCTCTAACTAAAGTGTGTCTTACCCATTTCCATGATTCTCTTACTAGTTTCTTCTCTGTATATCTTTGTCTCATTTTCTTTCTTGTACCCAAGAGTGGTCTGTGTCTTGTCTTAGATGTCTCTCTCTAGTGTTTTCATTTTGTTACTGATTCTCCTTGCTCTCCTAGATCTGGCTCTTCTTTCACTGTTTGTCTCTTTGCGTCTCTTGAGTCACATGCTGTGTGCCTTTTGCTCACTTCTTGCTATGCCTACCTCTCTTCTTTTTCTCTTTGTGAACTGTTTGTCACCCCCTCCCCTTGATGGTTTGACATTTCACCTTTTCTGATACTGGCCACCCTTCTGCTGTTTCTACTCTTTATCTTGCATTGCTCTTTTCTACATATTCTTTCTGCCTCTCTTGGGCCATTTTCTCTTTTCTTCCTGCTTTGTGTGCCCCAGTGTCTCTTTGTTCTTTGTGATTTTCCATGTCAGCATTCATCTCTGTGTTCTCTTATTTCTTCTCTGCTTTTGCCTTTCTACTTACCTTTGAGTATTTCAGTCTCTTCTTGAGTCTATGTCTCCCCCACTTTGATTTCATGCAGTCCTCTCTCCTTGCATACTTTTTGTGCATGTGTGTGTGCATGCTTTTGTGTGTGTGTGTGTTTGTAACAAAGGGGTCTCCTAACCCCTTCCTAATAGGTGCAGAGTGTCAGCTATCAAAATATAAGCATTGAAGAGCTGTTCCTTATGCCAGGCCGCCTGTGAGATGATCCAAGACCAATAAAAGGCCCAAAGGTCTAGACTGGAGTTGGACGGAAGACTCAAGTCTTGGTGAGACAGAAGGCCAAAGACCCAGGATGGGATGAAAAGCCTTCACTTGAAGACCTATGACCCAAAAATGGAAGGGCCCAAGCACACATAAAGACCCAGAACTCAAGCCTGTCTATATAGACAGAAGGCCCAAGAGAGACAGATATCTCCAGACTAAATTAGGCGGGAAGCTGGAGGCCCATGACCCAGAATCCAGGAAGGATAGAAGCCCCAAGACCAAAGGAAATTCCAAGATGAGAACCCTAAACTGCAGCTCTTTTCTATTGTTCTCCTCCCTACTCTTGGACATTTTCAGTTCTCCCTTCCCTGTTTTCATATCTCCATTTAAACCCACTTCTTTTGAGATGTCATTTTTGATGTTGCTGCTACTTTAAAGAAACACACCTTTAGATCAGTAATATTATGCCTGGGCCAGTCTTAAGCCAGTTTTTATCGCACTTTTAAGCCATTTATTAAGGTTTTGGTGTTTTGCAAAGTTCCATTTCTCTTCACCTCCTCTCCACTTGAGAGGGACACATAGGTGACTTTATATTTCAGTCCCTTCTTTCCTCAGAAGCTCTAGGCTGATGAGAGAAGTAAAGCATCAGGTTACTGAGTGGAAAATAAGTGCCAGGCTATCTAGAGAAAATGTGAAGAGATGCTCCAGGCCAATGAGAAGAACTAGACAAGAAATACACAGATGTGCCAGCTTGCTGAGAAGCACCAGCCAGCAACATATTACTTCTTTGAGCTTGGGTGAGCAGGATTCCTGAGGTTTGGGGTTCCTACTGATAGTTATGAAAAAGGAGGATTGGGCCTGGGAAAGAGTGAGGCCCCAAGGAGGCAGCCTGAACTCCCTGCTCATAGTAGTGGCCTAATAATGTGGTAAACTGTACCAATCCTGCCCCTGGGTTTAATACCTACCTCTAGGCATAAAGATGAGAGAAGTTGGGAATATTTAGGAGGATTAATCCCTTCCTTGATATTTTTCCTCTTACCATGAGGAAAGATAATTTTAATGATTGAGAATATATATGAAAACACTGTAAAACAGAAAAAAAGCAAGGCATTCTCATTAATGGTATATTGGCATCCATGCACAGCTAACATTTGAAAATGCACTGTCAGTTGTGAAGCATTATGTAAGTCGAGGTCATCACACCCTTTCTGAAAGGGTCGGATGGTAAATATTGTAGGTTTTACGGGCCATTTGGTCTCTGTTGCTTTTTTTAAAAAAAGCAAGTGAATTTGGCCTGTGGGCCACAGTTTATCACCCCTGATGTAATTGCCAGGGACTGTGTGCTGAACAATATTAATTTCCTTCTGTGTGCCTGTCCCTGTGTTAGACACTAAAGATGCAATGACTATGATTATATCTAGGTGATCTGAAGAAAAATAAGTGAATGTGAGTTGTAAACTATAAAGCACTTTAAAGACTTACAAGTTTCAGAGTTGATGAATGAACATTGATTACATAGTATATACATTCTAGGCACTGTAGATACAAGGAATAAAAGAAGCATGAATAAAGTGCTTTGTCAAAAGTATGTAATACTGTACAGATATTAGGAATTAAGTGTTTGATAAATGAATAATTCATGTATTTCTGGCCATTGTGTTTCTGTGGCTATGGTGATTTTGAGTAAAAATACAGTATTCCAAGTCGCAGAAGAGAAAACATAAAAACTGCTTTTAAACCATAAAATACACTGGAAATACAAGGGATTTAAGCTATTGTGATCACTTATAATGTGCCAGATACCATGCTAGGCACTACAGATGTCAAAGGGAAAAAAATGTTCTCATTATAGAACAATTAAAAATTTTAGATTGGCAATACATATTAAAGTGCTTTGTACTAAAGCACTGTATAAATACCAATGGGCTATATGTTTATAATGAATGAATAAGTATTAAGTGCCTTATATGTACCAGCTATTGTTTCAGGTACTATGAAATCCAAGATAATGCTCCCAAGTAATAAGAGGGAGGTTTATGTCCTATACTATTTGGATGTAAGAATTAGATCTTGCTTATTTTAATCAATAAAGACTTTACTGGTGATATCAAATTAAATTATTACCAGTATATTTTCCCTGGTAGCAGGAAAATGTAATGAATGAGATTGAGCTTTCTAACTATAACGTGCTGTATAAATATAAGACATTAGATGTTTTCTATGTGAACAAACTTATGTGAGACAGGCATGGTCTCTACAAAATTCTCATTGTGTGCTTGACCCATATGAGAAAGGTAGTATAAATAGTTATACAAACTGAGGGTTTAAATGCTTGTTAAATGAATGGATTATTAATATCAGTTGCCTACTATGTGAACTCACTGTTATAGGCATAAAGAGATATACAAATTTATCATTTTATTGTGCCTAAAGCTGAGAATAAGGCAATGTTAGCATTTTGTGGACTCTAAAGCACCATATAAATGTAACTATTGATTTTTTCATTTGGTGTGCCTAGTACTAGGTTTACAAAATTATATCACAGTTACTATACCATGAAAAAAAGTCAAAAAATTTGAGGAAGGATTGTTAACTATTGAACATTTTTATATGTAAAGGATTAGATATCTATGAATGCAAGACTGGATAATAATTATCTATTATGTGCCAGTCTCCTTGATAAGCATCAGGGATGTGAAGATAGTCCATCTTTATTGTGTTCTGGGCAGCAGAAGGTAATGTATAAAATCAATTTGTAAGTCTTAAACTGGCATATATAAATATATAAGCCATATCTGCTGAATGGACATTGATTACTTTCTCTTATTCCCAGAGATAGCAACTGGGGATGCAAAAATTCATTGTCATTATTATTGAACCTGCAACAGAGATCTGTGTGTAAATTTTACAAAGCCTACTGTTCTATACAGATATAAGAAATTAACTGTTGGCTTAATGAATGATTACTGATTCCTTTCTATGAGGCTCAGAACTGCACATGCACTAGGATATAAAAATGATGTTATCCTTAGCATATGGTCACAGGAGGAAATGAGGTAACAGGTGTGGGAATCCAGACTGAAAGTTACTTAACCACTGCCAAGCCTATTTGATGAAATTTAAAAACATGGGCAAAATGGAATTGTGCAAGGCAGTATGCTGAATGCTGAGCTAGGTGGAAAGATAAAATCTATACCAGAAGGCTACTTGCTCCCTGACCTGACCAAAGAAATGGGAATTTTTTTTTTTTAAGCAAGGTGTTATGGTTCTCCATTGGTCTTTTAAATGCTGAAGATGGAGGTGAATTAGATCCACCCTGGCCTGGCTTAGAGACATTAAAGGAGTAAAAAATGGCTCAGGTTGGCTTTTAGATTAATTTGATTAACAGAGCATCTTTTATGTGGAATACATCATTCTAGGTCCTGAACATAACAGAATTGAAATGGGCCTAGTCTAAAGGGCATTAGATAGATCACAGATCATAGCTGAAGATCCAGAAACACCTTTGATTTTTGAGTAAATACTTGAGTTCCTGTTCTCTGGATGAATTAGTAGATTAAGTCTGGTCCAGAAAACCTATTGACTTGTCTTGGAGATTGAAAAAATAGGAAGAAAAAAAGATATGGTTCTTTCAATATAAAATGAAGACATTTTTCCTGGCTCTAGAAAGTCCCAATGTCACTTGCTCATTGACCTAGCTTGAAGCCAGAAGACTGATAAAAGGCCTTAGGGTTTGTCCTTTAATTCTTTAACATTCTGCTTTTATTATAGTTAAATTAAGATGAGAATTAAGATGAAACAACTAGTTTTAAAAGTATTTGCTCATTGGCCTGGCATAGAGTCAGGAAGCCACTTAACAAAAAAGATTCTTCCTAAATTTTCCATATTTTGTAAATTATTCACTTGAATGAAATACTGTTCTGCTGAGGAGAATGAAGAGATTTTAAAAGACCTAGACCAAAATACACTTTAATCTAACTAGCTTATGGAGGAAACACAAGAGCAAATTTAATAAGAGACTGCAGTTCTTTCATTAGTTGAAAAAACTTCATTGAGCAGCTGTGATAGTAAGACACTGAGATGGAATGATTAATTATATCACCTTCTCTTTGGCATGTTTTGTAGAGTAGGAATAAGAGAGCTTTTTAGTTATTCATTCATACAAACATTGAAGAAGGTGATGCTAAATGAAATTGATCTGGTACAAAATGCACTTGGAGATGCAATTAAAAAAACAAGAAATTGAGTGAAACTCTTCATTGAATAGAAGTGTCTATTCTATTTCAGATCTTGACTGAAAGACACTTGCTTGGCTTGGAAATTGGAATATAAGAGGAGAGGTTACTGTTCATTCATTTTTTTCATTTATTCATTCACTCTACAAGTATGTTTGAGTGCCTATTGTGTATAAGCTCCTTAGCTAGGTTCTCAGTTGGCCCCAGAGACATGAAAAAATGAATACCTTCCCAGAGAACTTTTAAAACTTGCCTTTTGGTCTGTTTTCTGGTTAGGGGTATGGCTTATTTCCTCAATAATAATGTGTGGTTTAATTCCTACTCCATATTTCTTCTACCACTCTGGCCACTACAATAAGCAAGGGTTTCTACTGAGCTTGCTCCTTGAGTTGCAGGAACCTTCCTTATAATAAACACTTCAGTTTTCCTAACCCATCCCTCATGAAAAATGGCTGTGACTGTTGGTGGGCAGAAAGAGGGATGAAAAACAACTGATTCCCAAACCTCAGTCTCATTGGTACAAACCTCAGTCTCATTGGTACCAGCCTTGGGGAACCACTCATACTTAAGCCACAATTGGTTTTGAAACAACACAGGTTTCGTCTATTTTCAATTCTTTACCTTTTACATTCTAACAAATATACACTGCCTAAATAGATCTCTTTAAAAAACAATCCTCTGGTAGTACTTAGCAAGTTTGGAGATGGAGACATGATTTCTGTTTTGCAACAGCTTCTCAACTTACAACTTGGAAATCGTTTCCTTTTTACCAGCAAAACCTGCTTAAGAAAAGACATTATAATTAAATAATGCAGTGAATGAAAATAGCTTAACAATTTACCATGCTTAAGTTTTAAGAATGATAAAAATTGGAAGAATTGGCAAAAATTGGAGGGAAAAATTACAAAAAAAAAAAAATCTTCTATATCTAGGCCCAAATGGGTTTTGGCCTTTTCTATTTTTTAAATCACTCACAGAGGGTGGGATAGGAGGAAGAGTGAAAGAAAAGGTCAAACCTGATTCTAAAAAGGGTTGGTCTTAAAAGCATTACTACCTCCGAATCTAACTTGGGGATTGCTGTTTTTAGTTTAATGCAATTCCAGTAACTGGTCACTGTTGAGATGAGGACAAAGTCCTTTGTCCCCACTCATTTCTGTAAGTTTTTGAGAAACAATTTTTTGTTTAATGGTTATTGATTAAACCTTGGGTTAGATAATTATGGAATTTATTAATTAAATCTATGTTACCTCTCCATCATAAGGTAGTCTTAAAGCTAAAGTCAAAATTCACTGCAGAGGAACAGGACTTTATTGTTCACTATAATTCTTACATACTTTCAAACCATCTAAACTTTAGTTTACATGGCAAGCCAACAATAACATAAGTAAATGGAGAAGGAAATAGATGAATGGCAAAAGATAGTTGCTGGAGGGAGCAAATTTGAAGAGGATTTGAAGGTGATGTTTCTAGTTTTTGCTTTGTACATTTTAATTTAATCTTCAGGTATATCTGACATGTTAATAATGTTTGGTGTTTAATATGTGCTATTAGCTGGATTCAGTAACTCCCCTTTCTTCAGATGGGGGTGGGGGGTGCATTATTGGAAAGTAGAAAGGAGAAAGTAACTAAGAGCCTTCCTTTCACAGTTTCTGGCATCCCAAGACTACCACTACTGCTAAAAAAGAATAAGAGAACATGTTATCATCTGATTTTTGTGGCATAAATGAAGTTGTGAAAAAATCTTTTTTTACAAAGGAAATGGCTTCATCTTTATCCTTCTACCTCAAAGGGAATCTATGCCAAAATGCTCCGATGAATGGAAGGCACACTTGGACTTGTGAACTGAAGTGAAACGCAGAATCTCTGAGCCATGGTTGTTTTGAAGATCGAAAAGTCTTGTTCAGCATGGGTGACCAGCAAAAAAGCAATCTAGAGCTGTCTGTATGTCACAACTGAGACAAATTGGGGAATTTGTTGTTTAATGCCAAATAAAAATGTACTGTTTTGAAAACTTTGTATTTCAATGTAACAAGTTCTACCTCACTGTCCCTTCCTAACCACATTAGTTACCTCAATTTTTTAAAAAAATTATCTTAATCACCCAGTTTAGGTAAGTCTTTGAGGTCTAATTTTTTTTTCTTCTAGCTCCAGTTGCTTTGGTCAGGAATACTGAGAAGCACAAACCCAATTTTAAAAATGTGAGAAGCAAAAATTATTGAAGAAGAGGGCTGGGATAGGAATAGTGCATAAAAATATTTTTAAGGCTGTGGGAAATAGAATGTATTCAGGAAGGTAATCACTGTAATTAAAGAAGGTAACAGGTCCAGTCCTTGAGTAGGTGAAGGGATCTTTGGTGTTCCTTTACTTAAATACCTGAATGTTAGATTGGTGACTTCACGGGCACATGACCCCAGTGTTTATAGGCAAGAGCTTCTACTCCTTTGTTGGCATCTTACATCATTCTTTTTTTTTTTTTTTTTTTTTACTATTTATTTATTTGGCTGCACTGGGTATTAGTTGCCGCATGTGGGATCTTTAGTTACGGCATGCGGGATCTTTTAGGTGTGGCTTGTGGGATCTAGTTCCCTGACCAGAGATCGAACCTGGGCCCCCTGCATTGGGAGTGCGGACTCTTAACCCCTGGACCAGTGGACCAGTAGGGAAGTCCCTCTTAAATGCCTTTTTTTGCGGTACGCGGGCCTCTCACTGTTGTGGCTTCTCCCGTTGCGGAGCACAGGCTCCGGATGCGCAGGCTCAGCGGCCATGGCTCACAGGCCCAGCCGCTCCGTGGCACGCGGGATCTTCCCGGACCGGGGCACGAACCCGTGTCCCCTGCATCAGCAGGCAGACTCTCAACCACTGCGCCACCAGGGAAGCCCAATGCCATTCTTAATTGAGCCAGAGACAGTGCTCAATTTCCTCTTTCCAATGCCAATCCCTATGCATTTTTTCCCTAACAAAGTTTTGTTTTTGTTTTCACCTGTCCATCTTTGGAATAAGACATGCTGGAGTAATGGCTAGTATTAGAGGAAATAAACCTGTAAGGGAAGTCATAGAAGAGGCAGAAGGATTTAGGATAGCAAGGCACAGAAGGACCCATTATTAAGCAAGGGCTCTCATATCCTAGAGTCCCAAAACATGTTAATTTAGTGGGGAGGACAGTCTGCACATTTACTTGATAGGCTGATTAACCAGGTAACAATGCCATTTAGTAGCTTCTATAACCCTTGCCTATATTCTGATCCTTTCTCACCTTAGTGTTTGCAGCTATTATCCTGCCAAGTGCTCTCTGCCCATTTCCTAATATCTCTGAAACCACATTCTCACTTTTATAAAGCTAGACTTATATATAGGTAGAGCTGTATAGTACCTGTGTGATGTGATTTCCAAGGTACAAGAAGGCCTTATTTCTCAAGTTTGTGTCTCCCCTTCTTCGTAGCTGATGTCTGATATTCCATTATCTGGAGTTGAGTCTCTGATTCTTCAATATGTGATAAAGCAGGACTGTTTATTTTTGTACCTGCACAGAAACGTTATAACAACAGTGCCTTGCCCATAGGAGATGCTCAACAAATACCTGTTGAATTATACTTAAACTTCAGGACCCTCCAGGAGAGAAAACATGACATTCCACACCTAAGGCAAGAACAGCTAATACATCACAGTTTCTTTCAATCCATGGCAGATGGTATTAAACAGTCCTAACATTTATTCCTGCTAAGCCTAGTCCCTAGAAACTGCTAGTTTCCCACCAAAATATGTTCTCCCTTGTTTAACATGTGGCTGTCCAGCTAGACTACATTTCTCAGCTTCCTTTGCAGTTATGCATAGCTAGATGATTATAATCAACAAAATGTGAATGGGAAGTGATGGGTGCCAGTTATGGGCCTGGCTTAGGGTATGATCACCTCTCCACTCTCTTATCCCTTCCCAGCAGCTGCAACCTAGACAATGGCTATCCACCTTCAACCTTACAGATGACAGACCCTTCCTTATGAGATGGAAGAACAGTGACTTGGAAAGAAATCACGTCCCTGAACAACTCTAAGAAACAGAGATGCCCTTCTGCTCTGAACTTTTTACATTGAGACTGTCATGTAAGGAAGAAATAATATTTCTTTAAACCACTGAATTTTATTCTTACAGTAGCCTATTCTTTTCCCCATAACTAAAAACAACTGGATGCTGCCCCACAATCCTTTATACAGCATTTCAGATAGCTACTACTAATCAATAAACTTTCAGTTATGACCTCATAAAAAAGTCTTTCCTTTGTTCCTCATCCTACTTTCTTTAAGATATGCAAGATTTTAGCTGTGCTGTTGAGGCCAACTGCTAAGTTTTCTACTTTGTTTCCCAACAAAATCAGGGGAATTTTAGAACTCAGCTATGGTAACTTATAGGTTATAGATCTACCGTCAAGTTGTCGTCCATGATGTGCAAAGAGGAAGCAAATGAATCTAGGTTCATCAAGCCATAGACTTGGTACTGCTTGACATAATTAAGCCTTCCAAGTGTCTTCAGTAAATCCATAATTAAAGCAGTCAGATGGATCAACACCTTCAAATAAGCAATTAAAGCGAAAAGGGCAGAAGGAGATTGAGTAGTACATTTAAGAAATATTTATTTAATCCTTACTAAATGATAGTTTTAGGTATTGGTGAATAAAACCCCAACAGACATTGTCCTTGACCAAATAACTTAAAATCTATTAGAGGAGACAGACAATAACCAAGGAAACATGAACTTATACAATTTGATAAGAACATTAAAAGGAAATAGGATGCAGTGACAAGGGAGAGAGACATATTTACTTTAGAAAGTGTGGTTAAGAGAAGGAATCTGTGCAAAGGTCATATTTAAAGACAAACCTAAGGATAAAGAAGTCAATCCAAAGGGAATGGATTGTACTTGCCGTGTAATGTAAGTAAACTGTGATCAGCAAACTACAGCTCATGGGCCAAATCTGACCTGATATATATATATATATATATATATATATATATATAGTATGGCCTGAATCCTAAGAGTGGTTTGTACACTTTTAGTTAGAAGTAAAAAAACTAAAAATGAATAATATTTCATGACATCAAAATTATATGAAATTCAAGTATCAGTGTCCATATATAAAGTTGTTTTGAATATATATAGTCAAACTAATTAGTGTTGTCTATAGCTGCTTGATATTACAACAGCATAGTTGAATACTTGTAACCGAAACCATACGGCCCAAGTTTAAAATAATTACTATCTGGCTTTTTACAAAGAATGTTTGCCAACCCCTGGGCTAGACTATAGAAAGTAAGGATAATGGCATGAAATAAGGTTGTAAAGATAGGAAAGAACAAGATCATGCAAGATCTTATAGGAAAAAGAAATGAGAGAGAGAGAGAGAGAGAGAGAGAGAGGATGAATGAATTAGTTTAAAATGTATTACTTTAAAAAATTTGCTATACGATGTGAAACCACAGAGAGATAGGAAGCAAAGGAGTGTCATGATCCAATCTACATTTTAGGAAGATTATTAGGACACTTGATTTTAAATCATAATGTAGAAGATAGTGAAATATCATCATTCCCATTATAACAACTATAGAAAAAACCTAAACAAATAAGATACAAACAGAATTCAGGAATTTCTAGATTCCACATAAGACATAGAAGGCTGGAAAAAGCATCACTCCTACAACAACAAGAAAAAGCCAGATAAACTATAAAATCATAACTTGAATCCATTAGAGAGCTGAGATTACAGGGCAACCAACTAACCTGAATTGTGAGGAAAGATGTGTGCTTTCAAGACAGAATATGAGGGACTTCCCTAGTGGTCCAGTGGTTAAGAATCCGCCTTCCAATGTAGGGAACAGGGGGTTCAATCCCTGGTTGGGGTACTAAGATCCCACATGCCGTGGGGCAAGTAAGCCCACGTGCCACAACTACAGAGCCCACGTGCTCTGGAGCCTGCATGCCACAACTAAAGAGAAGCCCACGTGCCACAACGGAAGATCCCACCTGCTGCAACAAAGACCCGACACAGCCAAAAATAAATAAATATTTTTAATAAACATGAGCACTGGTTGACCTCTGGCAGTGGGAAGAAGATGTGGCCTTCAAATAAGCAGGTTATAAGTATTTGACTACAAGTTTCAACAAATTTCTAAAGGTCAAGTGTGGGTTAGTATGAAAACATAGAGCCCCTGGGAACCACAGATAGAAGGCGAATTCATACCCTTGCAAGTTCTCCTCTGTAGACATCATTGAGAGCTTATGAGAAGAATTGGGGGATAGACAAGAGAGTGGAAATAATCACCCTTGGGTAAAGGATTGGAGGAGAGTAACAGACATGTTTATGAGAAAGGTATGAAGCTCCACCAAAAATCTTTTCCAATAAGAAAGAAACGTCTTTATGACACTAGGGAAGGAGAGTAAACTATTGCTCTTAGGTCACTCACTGCAACTGCAGGAAGAAAGATTTTCTACTCTTGAAGAGGGCCAAGAAATGCTACTAGGACCAAAGCACTAGAGGTTTTTCCTAACACTGGAGATTACCATGAAGGTACCACCTTTGTGAAAAAGGGTTATAGTATCTGTTAATGTTAAAACTATGCCTGAACCAGGAAAGTGGAATATCTCTCATTCCCTAACCTCAACAGGATAGGAAACATTGAGCAGCAAGAAACTGCAACCTATACTGGTGGAGGGGCAAGTATACAGAAGAGATCTCACATAGGGAAAGGCATACTTAGGGAAAGACTTAAAGCCTTAAAGCTTTAAAGGAGTAGGAGCACTGAGAAAAATCTTCAGGTAAACCAATTACCACCCTAGGTACAATGTGATGCTAGAGAAATTTGCAGCTGATGGTGAACTGACAGTGATTAAAACAGTAACAAAACTAACTCAACTCCCAATTTAAATTGAGTCAACATGTCGTACTAAAGGCCTAACAGAAGGGTCATTTCAGTTTCTAGATAATCTTTACTTCTATCTCTATTGTTCTATATACTATGTACA